TGTAGTACATAGGAAGTGGACAGCTGGGAATGATTGTTTTAGGGCATGTAAGCTTCACAGATTACTAAATTGGAAAGGGACATTTATGTTATCAAATTCTACCATCTCTTTATTGCAGGAAACAAAGTATACATTAGAAAAATATTCAGCCTCTGCTTGACCACATCCAGCAATGTGGGAACCCACCATTTTTCTTAGGTAATTAATTTATCTGTTTAAGATGTTTTATATTACATTTTACTTTAAGATTGGGATCTATCAATGTAAAAAAAACAATATTAGTGCAACTGTCTTTTTGGCCTTGAATCTGATCTTTCAGCTGTCTTTTCAACCTTGCTGTTGTTCGATATAGGTATCTAAATATCCTTAACTAAAATTCAGTGTCACATCTATTAAAATTAGTAGCATAAAAAAAAAATCTAAAAGGCCTAGGCAAAGAGATATCTTAAACCTCCCCTGAATTATTACAAGAGGAGGGCTATGTTTGGCTGCGTAGGAAATTGTTCTATAACATAGAGCCCACCAGAGAGAGAGCAGACAGCAGTTACTATTAAACATATCCATGGCAGGACCAACTGAAGATCTTAATATTTGGTAAATCCTGTAAGTAATTTGGGCCTAAGCTATATTAAGTATTTTGAATTGAGTCCCCAAAATCTCTGGTAATAGGTATAGATTTTTCAATACTTGATGATGTATCTACTAGAAGCATACTTGCTGTCTCAGATTTGCAGTTTCTGAGTCATCTTCAAGGACTGTCCCAATCTTCAAGTTAACATAATAAGCGGTCCTACATCTGTCACTAATAGGAATATGCATATTGTTATTATTTAAATTTGTCATAGCCACCGACTCTAGTAGACTAAAAACTTATAGCAACACAGCCTGGATTAAAACAACCATCATAATAACAATCACAACAGGGATTTACACAGATGCAGCAAACTATTTCTACTTTATAGATCTACTTGGATCAGGCACCACATTTTTCATACTGTGAAGATGGGTGCTCTGCATATACAAATGCCAAATTGCTTCTATAGAGTTTAGAATCTTATAATTATTACTATATTGTAATTATAATTATAGAATCTGATTTTTAAGCAGCAGCTTTAAAACTGGTACTCATTTTATATTCCTTAACAGTGGTAAGAGCTTTTTCGGATTTTAATTTTTCCCTCTACTGAAAAATGAGGAGGGCATTGAGAATAATGTCAGGATGCAAAATGCAAGGAAAAACTAAAAGCTTGAATAGCAGCACTTGGTTGACCTTGTTTTGTGTTTGAACATTAGACAGGACTGAGCCTGGTTAGTACTTAGATGGAAGACTTCCAAGGAACACCAGGGCTGTAGACTAGGCCAGAAAGTAAAAAACAAAACAAAAGAAATCCTAACCTATTAGAATCCAAGAAAACCATATGGATGTGTCATGAAGCCTCCAAGAACTGAGGTTGAAGAATGCTTTTAAGTAATAAACATTTATTTATATTTACATTCCAATATCATCTCTTTCATCAGCAGTTCCTACTTCTCATGTGTACTGTATTGCCAAGAACTTGCCACATCAAAACATGTTACTACTGTATGTGATGTAATTAATAATTGTTTCCAAAGCAGGCCACTGGATGGCACTAACACTTCATTTAAAAGGCCATATTTTATGTGCCGAATCTCTTTGAGGCCATGTATCCCTTTTGAGAATGCCAGTTCCTGAAACAGATGAGATAAAAGAAGCTAGCTACTTCATAATTACACTTTCATTAAGGTTCTTTGCTGGAGCCTTATAGAGGATCTCACTCCATGGGGTTGACTAGCCACAGAATAAGGACACTGAATAGTCTAATACAGGACACAAAATAAGGAAGAATAAAAATGCAGGCTTGAGTCTGATGACTTTTTGAATGTGTCCATACTGTTCTCTTGGCACAAGTATGGAAGTCATTTGCCCTTCTCTCCTGGGATGTTTGTCCATTTTCCAGTCTAGCTTAAGGCTAAATAGTGAACACTATGCTAGGTTTATACTTGAGGCCCAATCCTGTTATAATTCTACAAAAGTTCACTCATTTTATGGCTGCATAAGAGGATAATTATATAGTATTAGGAAATAATTTTAAAATTAGGATTATAAATATATTCTTTATAATGCTTCTACTGTATATACAAAACAAGTGAAAGAGATGAAATCACATAAAAAAGGTAAAATGCAAAGCATCAAAAGTTTTATGTACAAATGTGAGGATGGAGGGAAGGACAATCTAAAAGCCCTGATAGAAATCCATGGTATAATTGTTCTTGTGTACGGCTATGCTCATATCATGTTGAAATGTGGAATGAAGGGGAGCCATGGTGATTGGAAGCGTAAAACACCTGTCCTATAAGGAAAGATTAAAGGATTTGGGATTTAATTAAAGAAAAAATGACAAGCAGCAAGTTCATTATGGTAAAACTTATAAATGGTGGAGAATGGGATTCTCCAATCTTTTAAGGAGTCAGCAGACATGAGATTGTGAGAAAGTGCCATGCTCTTAAAAAACTTTCCCCTGGTGGGTGTACCAAGTTTAAAAACATACACATACAGAACTAGTTTATAGAAGGGCAGACTAGTGAGGCTAAAATATAAGTGTAAGCACGAAAAGGCTTTAAGGCTCTAAACTCACTTGAACCCACCATTCCTATTTAACTTCAGGGTCATCCCTTTCCCACCCCACACATGCACTCTTCAGCATAAGAGACCCCCCCCACTACTGAATGAATTAGCTCAGCTCCTGTTTTTGAGCTTCCTTCTTCCACTCATCAAATTGCCCTACTCTTCTACTAATTTCTATGCTGCTTTCCCCAGACCCACCATTGGTAGGCAGGGGTTATAGAATCTGCTGCTTCTTCTTTTCTCCAAGCAGCTGGGAACACTTCAAAACAAAGTAGAACACACACTACCACAAATAGTCCTTTTTGCTTTCTCAAAATATTATAATTACCCTTGCCTTAATGTATGGGAGTATTATTACTGTGCGCAAAGTTCTGCTAATTTAGATACATTAGTTGGTTTTAGCCTCTGGTCAAATTCCGCATGCCGACTGCTCCTGTGTTTGAACTTGAAGTTGGCAACTGATGAAAATCCCACCTTTCTTACAGATGGCAAATAGCGTGAATATGATGGAGATTAGTTGTATGAGCTCATAAAATCTTTTAATGTATTTTGCCAGGGAGCATATGTGCAATGTACCTACCATATGCACAGCTAACAAAATAAGGGGGAAAAGTTTCCTTCCTTCAGTGTTTCCACTGTTGTTACTGTTTGTGCTATATAGTATTAAGCACGTGGTAGGGAAAGGATGCAGAGCATGGCTTCTGGAATCACATGACCAGGAAGAAAGGGGAGGAGGGCTTAGAAGGGGAGGGTTGGCCATATTGTGAGTTGCTCCCCAGCTGCTTCCAGAGGTTTTCTATTTTTCCTCTAAACTCAATTCTTCTGCTACTAGCTTCTCCCCCCACCCCCAACATTGGTCCTGTCCTTGTCAGTTTTTGGAAGATAGGCAGGATTACTTGCCATTGTGAATATACAGAATGACTACGTTCAGAGGCACTACCAGTCTGAATAACAGCTAGCTGTGATAGTCTGTCATTGACTTTGAAGAAAAAGAACAGGTGGAATAAAGTTATGGTACAATCTGTCACTAGAGATATATGTTACTTTTAAAATATCTAAACTGCTCTTGACCAAAGCAGAATCCGTACTGTGCATGGGCATAAATTACATTATAGCAAATTCAATTTAAGGCAAGTATTAACAATTACCTTTGCATAAATAATAGAACTGAGAAATGAAAACTAAAATATAAAACCTTTTAACATCCATGTAGGCACCAGTTCTAGAAATTCTCAATGGGGTGTCAGTACAGAAATGGTCCTTTGATAGCAGAAGTAGAAACGTTTTCAGATCTCATTTGAAGGTCATAATGCATGGGTAGCTAGGTGGGGGAGCATTTTTAGATATTTCAAAATTTAGATTTTCAGTTGGATTCAGTTTTGCAAACTGGGGAGTTGCCTAAGGTCACTCCCTGCTGGACATGATAGGACCAACCATTTAAACTGAGGATATTATCACAACTATAATTTTAAAAAAAAAATATGACTGTAAACAGGTTTTAGAACTTTATCAGAGGATTGGTTTTGAAAAACCACAAAGCTATTTTGTACATTTTGTTAGCAAAACTCAGAAGTAAGATATTCTTTACATATTACTTAAATATACACTTAATTTTATGTATTTTTCAAGATATAAAAATCACAGAACAGAAATAAATTGTTTTTCATCTGTTGCCCCTTGTTAGATCTTGTTTCCTCCTCATTGCTACTGAACAGTAAGCCTCCATACATCATCCTCTATTTGTATTACCTCTAATTCAGTTTCCTTCCCTAGGCCTTAATGAACTTGGTTGTTTTCTAGATGTAAGCTTTTCCTTCTCTTTAAAAATAAATATAAAATACAGAACTGACATTAGAGCCTAGCAGATGGAAAATCCAAAGCCACTTAATCTCGCCAGGGTTGAGTTGAAGCCTGTTCTTCCCCATCCAGACCCCCATAGCCTCTGGACACTGAAAAATCATCTCAGGAGTATCTGGTTGGCCTGGGGCGGAGATGTATAACTGAGTATCATCAGCATACTGATAGTACTTTACTCTGTGCCAGCAAATGACCTCAGCCAGCAGCTTCATGTGTTCCCCACTCCCAACTTCCTGAGCTTTTCCAGAAGGATACTATGATAGATACTGAAAGCTGCTGAGAGATTAAGGAGAGCTATGGTGGACATACCACCTCCATCTTTCTAGAGGTCAGCCATAAGCACAAGCAATGCTGTCCCATATCCACATCTGAAACCTGACTGAAAGGGGTCCAGATAATCCACTTCCTCCAGGTTCCTCTGGAACTACAGTGCAACTACTTTCTCAACAATCCTCCTTAAAAAAAGAAGGTTGGAGACAGAAGGAAAATGGTCCAATATGGCTGGGTCCAACAATGTTTTCTTAATATTTCCTGAATATGGATGATTCAGTACAAATAACAATAAGCAAGACATAGAAAAGATGACATTTTATTGAAAATAAAAACTGGGCCTGCCATTGTATCAATAATAGCATTATAATTTTTAAAAAACCTCTGGTTATTGACTTATGAACCTATACCATATCCTGATTATTTTATTCTACTCATGACTGTTTTATTTTAGTCACCTTTAGATTACAATTTGCCTTCTGTACTATGCAACAGCTGAAGGAAAAGAAACTGAAAGAGGAAACTTCCAAACATTTTCTCCAACACAACTGTGGTTGATGTGGATATCAAAAAGGTGGAGATAAAGCTCCTCCCTCAGCCAGTTATTCAGTAACAGCTATGGACTGTAAGGAACTCATAGCTCACAGCTTCTTTTGAGCTAACTGCTCTGAAACACTAAGTATTATTAATACAAAACAAATAAAACCAGAATATAGAGAGCTTCTGAAGAAAAAGTGTCAAAATGACAATTCCAAACATTTAAATTGTATTACTTACATCATAACTCTTAGAGTATTGGGTTTAAAAAAAAAATTACACAATTATTAAAGCAAGATCAGTGTGGAAATACCTCTCTTCAACCATCCTGGGGAAATAGACTCTAGGACATTCCTCAAAATAGTCACAATGACTATACTTTGTGTTGAGTCACAACTGTTTGCTTTGGCTTGGCTTATATCATTTCAGCCAAATGTAATTTATTCAATAAACCATGAATACAATGAAGGAACTCAGTCATTAACTCAGCAGGCTTCTTATAATGATCAGGCTGGTATAGCTAAGAATTTAATTCCTGCTCTAAATAGGAAGAAGAGTTTTGTTCTAGTTGTAATGCTTACTTGCTGATAAAAAGCACATATTTAAAGTGAAAAGAAACTCAACTTACTAATTGGGAGCAATAAGTAAGTTACCAAGGTTAAACTGCCACATTTGCAACTGACACACCAATGAAGCTGAACTGGACTTTCCTTATTTTGGGAAAAAGTTTATGAGGGATTGTGGTTTCTGCTTTATGTTTCCTTGGAACATGCTGCATTTGGTGTACAAAATTTAGCAAAGTCAATAGAACTCTCATCAAAGTTTCCCAAAGACTTAAACAATCTTGACTGAAATTTTGAGATGGAGATCCAGGGGGCTTCTTGGACTCAAATGGTTTTGCTTTGTGGGATAAAAATGTCAGTAGTAGCTACTTGTGAACTCTTTTGAGTTTCCTGTTCCAATAATATTTGGAGAACTGATGTATTTGTTGTATAGCAAAACAGAACTTTACTTGGAGCAAGAAGAGTTAGATCAAAAGTTAAGTTAAACTATGAAGATCACTGGATGACCTTGGGTCTATTTACTGGCAGTCACACACAGCAAACTAAACCGCACATTAACCAGCCACAGTTTAGCCTAGAATGTTGGTGCAGATGATATGGATAGTTCACAGCATCACACAATCCCACACAGCTAGGCTAACCAAGTAAATTGTGGTTAGGTTCACTATGAGTAAGCATATAATGGAAACACAGCTAATGTCCTAGATTGTTACCAATACCAACTCTGGGTCTTGTTTTTTTTTCAGAGAACCTTGGCCAGCATTGTAAATACATCCGCAACTATTACTAGGGCAGCTGGAATCTGGGTGAGAAAGCTCAGAAAGCTCCACTCTTGCTATACTTCTGTATGAGGTACAGAGGGAAACTTACTTGTTTTTCCAGTTGGGGAGGGAGGAGGGACATCGACATCCTTCCTTTTATTATACCTAGGAAGATAGTGATAAAATAGAGGCTATCCAGATATCAACCCAGGCCATTCATAAGTTAGGGTTTACATGCACCTGAAGTAATTGGAATTTTAAATAAAATTAGCTATTAGAGCTTGGGAAGGAGGAATGTCCCAGTGGACTCTGCTTTTCTTAGCCCTTACAGATTTTGGTTTTATCATTGTACCAAGAATCTTTATTTGGAGAGAAGGTCCTGACTATGTAAAGATAAAGGAATCCTGCTTCTTACCTCTCATTTTCTTTTATTGTTCCTCCTTTTCCCCTCCCACAAGCAATACCATTTGTGCATATATAGAGTATGTATTATAGTCCTATCACATGACCATACCTCTGATGAAGTGGACTATGGTCCATTACAAGGTTTTGCAATAATAAATGTATTGATCTTTAAGGTGTCACAAAATTCTTATCTACAGATAGCAATTTGTGGGTGTAGAGCCTATATATGCAGCAACAGAGCTGCTTACACACTTTACATCTGCACATGCAAAATTTATTCAGTATGTACATAAGTTTAGTTAGAAGTTTCAAACAAAAGTGCTATTCATTAATTTATTTAAGGCTCAGGTACATCAATGCCATAGCCTGGCATGTGGTTTACTTTTGGGTTAATGTAGATACTTTTTTTGAAAAAGATTTCCCCAGAGTCAAAAGTTTGAACTCACTCTTAGTTAAAAGATGCCTCCTGCCAATATCAAAGAAAATTGGACATTCGCCTCAAATCAGCAATATCTCTTTATCTGAAAAAATTTGCAGATTCCAAGGGATTTGCTCCAAAGTTTAAAGCAATAAGCAGCATTAATTACAAAGGATCTAGCCCTTTCTTATACTGAGCAAAATATATCTGAATGTTCTTATTTAAAGAACTTGTTAAAATAATTCTGGAATTATTCTGTTCGTTAGTCTGAATGAAGGCAAAAGGAAACATTGTGGGACAAGTACCACCATCTTTCACAGTTAGTTTCATAGGGTACAACAAAACAAAAAACAAGGGGCCCAAATATTGAAAACAAATATCTCCAAAGTCATCCCTGTATATTTTATAAATATAGTTCCTAATAGGGCAATGCAGCACTTTGGATTTGATCTCCAAATGCGCTTCGGAGAGTGCAGGAGTGCAAATGTAGCATCCATTTGCAACACTTTAAAGCAGCTGCATCTTTTCCTCAGATTGTGCAACTGCTGTGCAAGCCTAGGAAAAGTCACAGCTGCTGTAAGTTATTTAAACAGATGCTATGTTTGTGCTCCATAGCACTTTTGAAGTTAGGAATTAAGATGATGAAGCACATTGGATTCTATGTTGAAGTACAGGCAGTGAAACAGAAATATGAAGGATTGGGGGGAAAAAAACCCTTTAAGCCTACTGCTCTTTTCCCCAGTCCTTCACATCTGTAGGCAAAAGACATGAACTAAGTTATTTTTTTGAATATTTCTTTCTTCAGTCATTCAAGACACTAACATAGCTTGGGAGTTGCAGAGAGAATTCTCTTCTCATATAAAGCATGAAGATGTTGATAGTACAATTGCAGATATAGCTGTTAGTGTCTTTAGTAAATTGATACTCCCAAACCATAATTTATCAGGATTAGAAAACTGAGCAGTAACCTAGAAAAACTGGCTAAAGGATTTTAGAACTGAAACTTCAATTCCATCCTGCCCCAAGGATTGGCAGCATAATAAATCCAGTTCTCCATGTTTGGAGGAAAAAACAACAAAACACCAGATGACCAAAGAACAATGGGGAGACCAGCAGCCTTCATTGTGCACTTGTCCTGACTCACATCATGTCATCTACCTGCTGTAGAAGATGATACAGGTTCTGTGTTAATTTGTGTTTAATCTAAGGAGATCCATGTTTACTTAAGGAAGTTGTCTAGTTTAGTCTGATTGATGCCAGAAGCAGAAGACATTATTCTAGTTTGCTTTGAAACAATTCTTTTCTTGCTCTTCATAGTCAGGGGCCGAATCTCTGTTGGGAAGCTCTAAAACAAGTCAAGGAAAAGAACCAAATATTTTTTAAAAAATGGAATTGGTATTCACCAAACTGGTATTCTCCATATGTTTTAAATACATCTGGAAAGTACCAGATTAGGAAAGGCTGATCTAGAATATTTCACAAGGGACCTGATTAGATTGTTTTAATTCTAGGTACTAGTAATAAGATCAAATGTTTTAACCCTCCAGCCCAGAGTGCCCAGTAAATTTACCTAGTTCACATACTCCACTCAGAGAGCATATTGTTTATGTAAACAAAGCAGTGTTTTCTTATGATCTCTAGAGCTCTTAAGAGTCTCAGAGCCTGGTAAATTCACAAGAAAGAACTGCAGTAAATTTTCTCTAGATTTAACTTCTCCTACTAACTATAGATATTTATAGCAAGACCACTGCTAGAATGAATTCAAAGTGGTTATTACACAGAGATAATTTTCCCCCAGTAGATTCCATTTTCCCAGCTGATCCTTATGCTGAATAAACTGCAGGACAAAACTGTTTTGTATAAAATACTGCTCTCACTGAGCAATCTATACTCCTTAGCAATACATCTAAAACTGGATATCAGTCTTCACTTCTGAGAAATATGCATAAAGGATACAGGCTGAATGAACTTGGTTCTGCCTCCTAAGCCATCATACCCGATTCTTACCTAGAAGGGAGAAGATTTAGTAATTATTTTAAAGAAGATGTTAAAAAGAGTCAAATACCATTTTGAACAGGTGGCTCTATAATGTGGGCAACAACACCAAAAAGGCTCTCAGTTTTATTCCTGAACATCTGAACTTGGGTGGGACTGTGAAAAGGCTCTAAGAAACTGAATGGAAATGTATGGGTGAAAGCAAAATGGGCACAGCATCATTTATAAGGGCTTTAAAGTCCAACATCAGACATTAAATTGTGTTCCAAAGGAAATTAATAGCCAGTAAAAATGGCGTGAGACTAGGATGATATGGTCTTGTCTACATGTCAAAAATGATAGATGGCCACTAGTTCTAAACATATGCAAACCTCATAAAGATGGATCAAGCAACCTCAATCATATAAAATGATTAGAATGACAGTATGTAAGATGCTGATATACCAACCACATAGGTAGCACTGGAAGAAAAACATATACAGTGGAACCTCGGGTTACGAACGCTTCTGTTAACGAACTTTTCGGGTTATGACCAGCTCCGGCCGCAAAATTTTGCTTCGGTTTGCGAACTCCGCCTCGGGGTACGAATAGGATATGCGGCTATTTTCCCTCCCGTGACACGGTCCGCGGCCATTTTTCCTCCCCTGACACGTGGTCCGCAGCCATTTTCCGCCCGACACGTGGTCCGCGGCCATTTTTCCGCCCGATACGTGGTCCGCGGCCATTTTCTACCCCTGACATGTGGTCGTACGGAGGGGGACTCTCCCTCCAAGCAATAGCCGCCTCCCTGTCCTCCACGCCAGAATGGATTA